CTCTGCTACTACTACTACTACTACTACTGCTACTACTACTACTACTACTACTACTACCACTGCTACTACTACTACTACTACTACTACTACTACTACTACTACTACTACTACTACTACTACTACTACTACTACTACTACTACTACTACTACTACTACTACTACTACTACTACTACTACTACTACTACTACTACTACTACTACTACTACTACTACTACTACTACTACTACTACTACTACTACTACTACTACTACTACTACTACTATTACTACTACTACTATTACTACTACTACTACTACTACTACTACTACTACTACTACTACTACTACTACTACTACTACTACTACTACTACTACTATTATTACTCTCCAGCGTCCTTCAACTCTTCATAGACTATATGATCTGCCAGGAACTTAGCGCAAGCTTCAGCGTCGTATAATTCTGGATAGGCCTGTGGATACATACCAAGTATATCACCGTAAAATTACGTCATATATCAGAGTTTCACAACCCGTTTTACGCGAAGTGCATTGAAAGCACTTACCGTGAATAACACCGGGACGCTCTCCCCACTCAACGTGAAAAACTACGTCATTCAGCATCGTACGCCCATGAGTTGATAAAAGTATAATTTCATAATCAATATATATAACAACGACGATGCTGGTCTTAATAGTAATTATTGGAGTTTCACAAACCCCTTCGAAAGTGGCGTAATATATAGATGGGCAGAATTACGTTACGGACCGTTACGGTTCACTTTTACGGTTACGATTCAAGCCCCGTACCGCAAAATTACGGCGCCGTAACGGGTCTTACGGAGATGCAGAATACAAAACGAGGATATATCATTCATGTCGCCTAAATCTATTCCATGTAAATGCGAGTCCGTGGATGAGGCCAGCTTGGCAGTTCCAGGCCAGCCTGGGAGTAAGACGGACGCAATTTGCAAATGAGACGAGTGGCAAATGCGAAACCAAATGTTACTCTCTCATCGGTTCGGCTGAATCCGAGCCACAAAAAACGAGTTCAATAACTATTTGAGCTATCGTGGAGTGCATTACAGTGAATTTCTCTATCACAATTCTGAAGAAGCAGTTCAGCACCAACCGTAGAGTCGTAAGGCCTTTCCGTAACCGTAAACTGCTCGCGTCACGCACGCCGTAACGTAAACCGTAAGAAAACGTTACGCTGCCCATCTATAGCGTAATACTGCATGTGAAAAACGCTGAAGTGATTTGAAAACTCCTCGCAGTCCACGTGAAACACATCCGATGATCTACACGTTATTCACTGCGCACATGCGTTTTCCACTAGATGAAATGCGATATGTGTTTTTTCGATATCACGGCTGAAACTCCGATAAACATCATCAAATCGCATACACTCAAAAGTCTTGATATACAAAAAACACAAGTGGAAAAAAATTAACATTTCACTTCGCGAAAACCGGGTAAACTCTAACAAATACTTTCACGCGAGTTTCAGAGTTTCGCAACGCGTTTTACGTAAAGTGGCAAAAAACCGGATATTCGCAGTGATATGCAGTAGTCGTGAAATATATTTTTCGTATCGCAGCCGCCCGTGAAACTCCATTATTACGAATAAAACTCACAAAATAATGGAGTTTCACAACCCGTTTAAGGTGAAGTGGTGAAAAACGCGATATTATTCGCGGTGATATGTAGTAGTCGTGAAATATATTTTTCATATCACGGAAACTCCAATCACTACCAATTTGAACGGCCGAATCGTCGTTGGGAGAAACTTCGCAACTCCAATTTCATTCAATGGGCATAAATAAAGTTTCCTTTCCCCTCCATACGTCCGCCGAAATTTAATCTCAAATTCTCTGAAAAAACGATCATCACCAGAAAATATTCCAAAAATGCTCATCTCACTGGAGGTAGTCCATGAGTCGTTCCTCGCGCTTACAAGTGCTGCCATAGGAACGTAAAAATGGCGGCAGACCGGTCGTACCCGTCTAAGAGAAAAAACGGAGAATATTCTCGCAGTGTGGAAAACGCGTTATTATTCGCGGTGATATGCAGTAGTCGTGGAATATATACTATTCACAAACTCCAGTGTTGGGAAATGAGCTCATTAATTATAAAAGATTACATACGAATTCGGGTAGAAGTGTACAGAAAAACCAACAAGAATTTCCTCACAATTTTCATATCGTCACAAACACATGTGTTGGAGTAGGAATATATGTAATCGCTTTCCTCAGCTGAGCTCGGGAGTTTCCTATACAGTGTTGGAGTAGGAATATATGTAATCGCTTTCCTCAGCTGCTGAGCTCAGGAGTTTCCTATACAGTGTTGGAGTAGGAATATATGTAATCGCTTTCCTCAGCTGTTGAGCTCAGGAGTTTCCTATACAGTGTTGGAGTAGGAATATATGTAATCGCTTTCCTCAGCTGCTGAGCTCAGGAGTTTCCTATACAGTGTTGGAGTAGGAATATATGTAATCGCTTTCCTCAGCTGCTGAGCTCAGGAGTTTCCTATACAGTGTTGGAGTAGGAATATATGTAATCGCTTTCCTCAGCTGCTGAGCTCAGGAGTTTCCTATACAGTGTTGGAGTAGGAATATATGTAATCGCTTTCCTCAGCTGCTGAGCTCAGGAGTTTCCTATACAGTGTTGGAGTAGGAATATATGTAATCGCTGTCCTCAGCTGCTGAGCTCAGGAGTTTCCTATACAGTGTTGGAGTAGGAATATATGTAATCACTTTCCTCAGCTGCTGAGCTCAGGAGTTTCCTATACAGTGTTGGAGTAGGAATATATGTAATCACTTTCCTCAGCTGCTGAGCTCAGGAGTTTCCTATACAGTGTTGGAGTAGGAATATATGTAATCGCTTTCCTCAGCTGATCATACGAATTCGAGTAGAAGTGTACAAAAAAAACAGCAGAAATTTATCAAAATTGTCACCAACACATAATGTAGCTGACCATGTGCATATTTTTCAACACTCTTATGAGTGATAAACTCACCTTAGGAATGATCGCATTGCCGTCACCAACAGCAGCAGATGACGATAACAGCGAAGCCACTTTATGAGAGAACCTGCCACAGCAATCTGGTGTCAATGCGACATAATTCTGATCGCAGTCAATGCGATTCCCATCATCATTATGAAAATATCGGTTTTTTTTCGTAATCAGGATTATAATAGCAAAACCACGCATCGCTGACACCAGAAATTATGAAAATGATCAGATTGAACCTTTTTCCAGACTCTATTGCACTTCATGTATAGATATATTCTCTATATGTTATTATACAATGGAGTTTCACAGCCCGTTTTACGCGAAGTGGCGGCGTAAAACTCGGTGAAAAACGCGATATTCACGGTGATATGTAGTAGTCGTAAAATATGTTTTTCACTGGAAACAGCGAAACTGTATTGTAGTATTTCGTATAAATTTGCAGAAATTCTAAATTAACTCCAATAATTTCCCTCGTCACCTTCTGCATCTGATTTCTTTCAAAGTGAGGGTATCGTCATCATCATCAACAACAACTTCAGCATTCAGGGTTGCTGCTTCCAAAGGCTCGTTGCTCGACAGGGGCTCTTCTGGTACCACTCCTTCCTCAATTTCTGCTGCTGTTGTTATCATGGATTCAACACTATCACTGAGAACAACCTGTATTGTCAACGGCTGTTTTACACGGGGGCAAAATATCCGAAAATATTCCCATAAAAGTTCACGCTTTCAAAGGGTGGGGGCTTTGGAGGTGTCTCCCAATTCCCATGATAGCAAACGCAGTGTCGCGTGAGTAAAACCTGAGCGGACACAGGGAGTGTCCCCCCTCCTTCTACACGCAATTATTACGCGTGCGTCTCGCACGCAGAAGACAAATGGCTGTGCGCGTTCGTGCAAATCGTAACAATCTGCTGCGGTATAGGTTAACGTGATACAGCTAAGGAACCTTCTAGTTCCTCTCTCCCAACCCTCCCGACCCGGGAGATGTGTGACGGTTTTGGCACCTTCACACAACAATCACGTCGCGGTAACGCAGTGCCAACAATACGGAGCACGCTAGCGCGGGGTTTCGTGTTGGTGCTTCTCTACCGTTACGTGATTCCTCAACCACACACCCGTGTCACAAGGGTTATACTGTTGAATAGTAATACAAGTGGTATCACAGCGCTCATGCCAAGCGCAGTTCCGATAAGAACGACCTGATGTCGACTTTATACAATTTTCAACACGTTCCTATGGTGAAATGGTAACACATTCGACTGCACATTAGGAGGTATCCGGTTCAATTCCCATCGAAGGATATGAAATTAATATCGTAATATATACTTGGCACTTATTGGTGGTATTTAGTTAATACAAGATCGAATTCACTAAGAAGGCTGAGGGGATACTACAAGTGCATATTAACAAACACAACGAACTCAATTTTCGGCAAAAATAACTCAAACACTTAGAAACATTCAAAGTTTCAAAAGAAATATGCGCTGTTGAATGAGTGTCAGTAAAAACATCGTCACTGCGGATCGAACACGAGTACATTGAAATTTCCAATTTGGAAATGGGCGACGCATTTTTTTGTGTGCGTCGATATTCTAGCGCGGGACATCAAGGATTTACCACGCAGTATGAAGATTTCCTCACATCCTACGTTAAGGAGTGGAGACGTGTACGGCGACAAATCACATTGTGACGTCGCCGCTTACGCCTCCTCGTAAGGGCCTTGGTGATGTTGGTATGCAATGTTGGGACTTACTTCGATCAGCCGGCGCGCGCGGTGAATTGTGCGTTAAGATTCCACCACCTGTCTCCGTGTTCACCAGCCCTCCGAAGTTCCCGGGGGCTTGCTGGGTGAAGGTCAACTTCGTATCTGCTCAATCTATTGTTCATCCGAAGGTTCGAGTGACTTGTCCATGGCTTGAATGGGGTATATATTCGCTTGTTTGGCATTCGTGAGTCACAAATCTTCAAACTGAGCGAATGAGCATTCCAGTGGAAGAGGATGAGGGTCCAGACAGGTTCGCACTGCGCCTCTCCCAGACGAGTCGTTATGAAGTATCCCTTCAATGAAGGGATATGCAGCAAGGATATGTCTAGTGTGAGCTCGCTCCTCACGGATGAGGTCGTTGGTGCGGTAGATATGTTCATGCTTGCTCTTGCTGGTCGTGCTTTCATCTGTGCTGCCTTCGCCACAGACGAGCCTCCCGGCGATCTCATCTTGAGGAGGAATGTTTGCTAGCCTTGGGTCTTTAATGATAACGTTCAACTCTACAGATGAAATTCCAAGTAGCTCGGTGACCCTTCAATGTATTCATTTTTCGGCACGGCCATTTCAGTCTTTCTAACGATGAGATTCCACAACGTTTGTATTGGTATCACTCTAATAGCTGTGGTCGAGGCGGAGTATAAATATTACTGCGAATTTCAACTTCCTCTCCTTGCCATGTGCGTTGGCAGGGAGGCGGGCGGGCCATGGAGGAGCTTATCAATGCATGGCGCCTTGATCAATCCACGGCAGCCACATCATATTCGCTACAGGGATGATGAATGCATTGTCAAGGACTCCTCCAAGAGCGCAGCTGGAGGGTCTATTCGTGTGGACCCTCATTTGCCGTGTTCAATCGAGGGCATGCAAGGGAAGAAGATGTGTTACACAAAGAAGGTCGCTGCTCGTAGACCCACGATGCTTCAACTGACGGATTCGCACGGATACGATCTACTTAATGAACTCGAGAAACTGGAGCCCATTCACCTTCAACATCTGCGAGTTCCGGAATGCCAGTCAGCAGGCGAAAGTGTGGCGACTTTTGTAAGCCACGAGCCTCAGCATTGGAAGGTTGAGGTCCAGGAGGAAGACTGCCCGCTTCCTCGATGGAGGTTGGGTAGATCTCTTGGTGGGAACCGTCACGTTCGACGGCTGAAGGCAATCTTCAGTATCGAAAAAAGCGATGGTACATCACAGGTGGTGCCCATATTGAGAACAGTGAACAATGTTATGGAATTGGGTCCTAGAGAAGGCGCATCGAGAACTGAGGCATTCTTCTTCGGAGTTGAAACACGACGAGTACTACATCAGGGTGTTATGATTACCTTTCGAGGGAAACCCAGGATGTTATTTAATACGACGATACGACCCTCGTTCATCCTTGAGTCTGAGTAAGCACCCAGTTAGTCGTTGGTTTGGATGGACATCATTCAGTTACTATCCGTCTATGCGATATCCAAGTCGGTATCGACACACTGTGAGGTGAGCTGTGCCTCATCTGTCGCAATAGTGCGTTCCCGGATCTTTTAGGGCTCAGCTGGCTTCTCCTACGCCGGGACCTATACACGCAACACCTCCCGCGTAAGATGATCATTTCATCACTGAAGTGATGGGCTCATGTTCTTCTGGTCAGGTATGATGAGCTCGAACACACTGCCGAGAGCAGGGCCCGGGCGTTCGGCTTGGATGATACATTGCCGACTTACGAAGAGGCCGTGGGGCTGGAACGACTCGGCCATAGAAGGCGGAGAAGCATCTAATACACTACACTCTTTCCCTCCAGTCAGACGATTCACGCGTTAGATTCCGATGCCCAACTGAGCTCGGTTTTCATGTTGATGTATGCTGCTGTGTCGATAGAGGATGCTGTTCAAATAAGAAGGGCGAGTTGTGTTACTCAGTAGGAGGCAACATCGGAGATGCACTCGTGGGATGGTAGACGTGAAACGATCACCATTTCGCGGAAATAGAAAGATGTCGACAGTACCAGCGATCTCGAAACTATACCACATCACCATGGTCATCGCGGTACCCTACCGTCATACCGACAAAGAGTCTCCGTCATGCTGCGGATGCTGTTACTCTGCCCTACATGAAGAAGGACGAAACGGCAAAGACATCACGAACTGGACATGAGTAGTTAATGTCCAGTTGATGATCAAACCTTCGAGATGATACCCTCGAGGTACTGCCTCGGATGTTAATCAGTCGCGTCGCAACAAACGTAGAAACAGGGGTGGTGCAATGATTTGCATGTACAGGGATGTGGGGGCGGATGCATGTGACGAAGTAGGCCGAGTACTACTCGTATGATGTGAGTAGCACTCGGCCTACTTCGACTGGAGCAAGATTGAGGAGAAGGGACAGTCAGTGGTCGCCGCACTCAACGAGCAGAATTAGGAGGCGATCCGCGGGAATCGCCATTACTTCGAGGTCATCCGACAATGCATAATCTTCTGTTGTGAATGGGGTTTTGCTCTGCGTCGCCACGGGGAGAACATCTTCGACGAGAATGGTGAAGTTAAGAACTCCGGGAACTTCCTAGGGCTAACTAGACTCGTGGCTAGTTCCGACGATGGGATGATCTCAGGGGCCAAAGACGCTAGGTATCTGCATCATAGCATTCAGGATGAGCTCATGAACTGCGCAGCAGCCCTGATTTGCCAGAAAAATAGCTGCGGCTGAGCGCGGATCCTTCAGTCTGATATGTCATGTGGTTCGGGAGTCCCGAATCGAGACACAGCCCATACGGCAAAGTCATCATTGTGCATGATAGTAGAATAAAGGGAGAATTCCTTGGGTTTGTCCGCTGCGAGAAGCTAGATGCTGCCAGTTTGACAGAACGCATAGTCACGACTTTCGGATCGATGAATATTCAGCCTTCTCTCATGGCGAGCCAATGTTATGAGGGTTCGGTAAGCGGTGTTGCCCAACGTGCCAGAGAACAGGCGAACCCACCCAGACCAGCCATGTATATCTACATTGTTTCGCTCACCGAGTGAACTTGATGGTCATACAGGTCTCCAAGGCTGAAAGGTTCCCTGAGCTCTTCCAGACTCACAGCACTTTCTGGCGACTTCGGTGGTGAAGCCTATCTCCAGGAAGAAGCACTACCCGGTCAGCAGCTGAGGATAGTTCCTGAGAGGCCATGAGAGGCGTTGGACATGTCAGTTTCGTGCTCTTGGTCGTGACTATGCCCGCTCTCTTTGACAGCGTTCGAAACGCCTAGTGATACACTCTCTGCCTGAGCTGGCCACCGGGATGAGGATGCGTCTCCGAAGAACGCTCACTAGTTGGTCTACTGGTGGAGGTCCTGCACTAGTAGACCAACTGGTAGACTCCACTGGAGGGAACATTGTTCAATGAAATTGTTCCATTGTCAATGAGAGGGAGGGAAGATGCCAAACCCGCAAGGCTAAAACGATGTACCGGAGGTAGGGAAAACACATTGGAAGCACGGCAAAGAACGACAATAATTATCGACGATTCCACACAACATACAAGAACGACCAGGAAAGTCGACTTGATCATGCAGATCAGAGACACTCTTGGATAACCAGATCAAGCGCACTTCATAGTGCATAGCATCGAGGCTCTCCAATTTCTCCGCCAAATTGATAGAAAGTGGACCATAGGCAAATAGAATTATGTCAAGCATCGTCAACTGTTCTTCCGGATCTCATCCTGTCTCACGGTGTGCGTGCGTGCATTATATGTCAACCAAATGGAACGATCTCACAGCTAGCATGTTTTCCCGAACGGACTCCGATCACTAGCCTTGACAATATGCATCTTCTTCCGAACCACACGCAACATTATGTTAATTCGAGACACTGCAACACTGTGATGACGCTACACTGGTCTTATGGGAATCAGCGATATCGTGTGGCTCGCTCCGCCTGGCCAGATGAAAAGCGAGAGTACAGCAATGGCAATGATCAAACGACTCGTGAGTCAAACACAGCGTGGCTCGATACTTACGTTCTCCGCACGAGGCTGAATGCCACTCGATTCTGTGGCGAGGGAATCCTCGGAGGCACGGCTTCTAGCAGTGTTGGAGGCGGATGACGTTACAGCAGCACTGTTCTTCCGCTCGCTGGCTAGCTCGGCCCGGATCTGCTGTACTTTACCACCAGCTATGCAGCAGTAAACTCCTAGACGAATATACAATGGGTCCGTATAGATGGTTGATGGCTTGCTGGTCGACTTCCGCAACGGGTAGGTGTCCTTTAGAGATCACAAACAGTGTTCTATTATGATCGAGATGCTTGGATACGAGGCTTACCATCATCTCATCGTCATCAGCGGCTTGTGTAGGATTCCTTGTCTGACGGTTTGTCACTCGGATAAACTCCGTCCTCCCGAGTTCTTCTTGACGACATGGCTCGCCCTGTGCCGTCCTCCACACACATGTCACCTGAAGGGCGCGGTATTAGCCAAGACTAACAGGTGGTTGAGAACTCACATCCACTGTGAAAGTCATTCCCTCAGTATAAGGCAGAAACAGCACTCGGCCTTTCCAGTCGCCTCGTTCAGCTCCCTGAAATCTCCTTTGATGATCGTACACATTTCTTGGCCGTCCGACCTGGGAATCTACGCTTCCGGAAGAATCGGGAGTGTTTAGCTGTGCGTAAAACATCTCGAGACCCCAGCCAGCGTTCGGCGGTGTTGGTGATAGCGAGTGCAGCTTGACAGCTACGTAGGAGTACGATAACGACTTGTGTAACAAATATTCCAACGTCGCTATCCTCTCAGCATTTCTGTTAGATTTCTCTGTCTGAGACGACAGCACCATTACAGTGATGGTGATCTCAGTAGAATGGATCACCTCATGCTGTGCCCTTCGCTCATCCATGTTTTGCTGCGACTGATGTTCGGAAGCCAAGCGTTCCATTATAACGTCCCTCTCCCTCCTGTGTTTCTCCTTGTCGGCTCTTATCTGATAGGGCCACCGGAGACTTGTCATTGAATCAACGAATCGTAAGAGAGGTTGGTGTTGTACATGAGTGAGTTCACTCTCGAGGGCCTTCTTCACTTTCTTATCGTGAGTAACACGCTGAGCGGCCCTTACTGCTGCCTCGAGCTCACGTTCGAGGTGGACAACCCTGCCAGGCGAGCATGGCGAACTAGGACGGTTTCCACACGATGAAACAATAGCCACAAGCCTCCCTCAAGATGTTAGATTCCTTCCAACGTAGACCTAACCTCTGCTGTTCTCGTCGTAGTGCGGCCTCCACCTCGGTAACATACTCCCGATCAACCTCATCCCTGCTGCTACTCCCACTTTCCGCTGAGTCCCTCGCGCGTTCAGCCTAGTGAGCACCGAAGACGTCAACGGATGCATTAAGCGGCAATGATTATACCTCTCGGCGGGCCTCCGATAATTCTTCTTCTAATTTGTCGTTCCTTCGAAGTGCGGCTTTGAGTTGCCGGCGAAGGTCGCCCAGAAGTTCAGCATTTTCATCTAACGGATCTTTCCTGTTCAACGTTAAAGCATTGTAGCGTTGTTATCTACTCATGGATGGTCTGTGAGCAATCGCCACCTCAGCAGGTGGTTCGCGTGACCTTCCCTCTTCTGACCTCTTGGTTTCCAACGAGGCCAGTCTCGTGAGGATCGCCTCGGCCAAACCTTGAGGGATTCTCTTCCGACTGGAGCCTTTCAGTTGGCTTACCAATAGGTTTGAAGGTTATCCGTTGGCTATACTCGTAAAGCCAATCGTTGCTGGTCCACATCGTATGAGTTGGGTCCTTCCCAGACTCAGTGATGTTGATGAGTAAGTCGATGCCCGACAAAGCCGAGGGATCGTCAATGTCCGCAACGCACAATGTCATGACAATTACCTAGTAAAGACACCCTCATAGGATGAGGAGCTTTTCGACGTTTACCCGGCCTTTCCTGATGTCAGTCTCGAGCTCTCGTATGCGTTGAGGATGGACGTTAAAGAAGTCCGACAGCGCCGACGGAATGTTCTCTCGAGCTCCTGTGATATCGAGAGGTTCATCTGGCGCTGTCGCTATCTGCATGAATAGATGCGTTTCGATATTGTGATACACGACAAACGATCTACCCAGGCTTCCACTAGCCAGTAGTCTCTCGAGAATGAACTCGTCAGGGCGAAGTTCTGAAGACCTCTTTGAAATTCCGGGCCTTCTGGCTCGTAATGCCCATGGAAGTGAGTTGTCGTCTGATTCGGCGGGCATGGTGGGGGCGGTATCTGTCACGCATTCCTGACCTACACTCCAAGCACGGAATTCGATATGATCATCGTGGGGCCCACAGAGAGCGAGGCTAGTACAGGAGGCTTATACAGGATCTGTTATCATCCGCGGTGCGAACTCGCGCGTCGATGGGCTATATCGAAGGGAGCTCCAATACTTTCCCTATCATCAAGCTGTTAAGTGCAATACACGACAATTTGCAATGACCTCATACCCAGTCGCTTCAACCTAACCATGTCTTTCTCTTTCCCCTCGATGCCATGGAAGATCTGTGTTCGCAGATGTGTACGTATGTTAGCAGGTGTAGTGATGCTGACATACGTACAATAACTAAGTAATGGCTGATGGTTCGGATGATACTATAAGTCATGGTTGAATAGCCCGGGCTGCTCCTGTTTGGCAAAGGAGTCCGACGGCTCGATTTGTTTCGTGTTAACTGATTCTGACTCCCGAATTCGAGCCACTACGCATCGTATGCCGTAGACTACCGATTCCATGAGGACAGAGCATTTTCGAGTATCGTACAGATGTACAGTATGCGGAACAACCTCTGAAGGAACGATGCGCGCAGATGTTTGTATCAACATGGAGCTGCACCGAAACTCATCTTGAAATCAATGATCGAGGAAATTCAGCGGAATGATATAGAGTACTCTATAGTGCAATTCTTCTCATCATCACTGTTGCAACTCACGGAAGCTATCGTTTCCCGATACACGAGAGAGGAGAAAGAAAGCTCACCTTAGGCGCAGGGGCAAGTTGATGTCCGTCGAGTGCTGACTGCCAATCGCTCGATTTCGCCTCTGTGAAAGACAAGTCACCTCTGTAGTAAAAGTGACTCCACATGTCCAGTAGAGCCTCGCTAGCCTGCCTCACTGGTGTGATATAATCTAATATTATTGCAATCGCTCTGTTGGTCAGCGACAGACCCTTCTGTCCCCGGCCGGTATCCCCGGAAGCCACCTCTTGAATGAGTCGGTAAAATAGCATACAAATGGCCGTCAAGCTCTGCGCTGTCGACTTCAGCTGCCGTTGAGCTGCACTGTATCGGGCCTCAATCTCGGACACTTGATTCTCCAACGCAGAAGCTCTTCCCTCCGCGCGAGTTAGCAAAAATGAATCATTTCTTTCTCTTCGCACATCCGGAGTCCGGGCACGAGTGGGACTGTTATAAGCAGGGTGATCCTGTAGGTACGCCTTTCCATTGGTGTTGTTGATACTTTCTGCACGGATGAGGCGTTCCATCGATGGTGACATTCCGGACCTCTTTCTAACCGCATATACTTCTTCACCGGACATGCCAATACGATCGAGAAATCCTAGACGATGGGATCAGAATGAGTGTTGATCAATAAGTATGTGTTCAAACGCAACGTTAAGTTTCCATCACGGATTAACACGGGGAATTAGAGGAGGGCGTGGGGAAGACTACATCAAGCTCCGTACCCTCGGTGATGGAACGGAGGTTCCTCGGCGTTGATGGGTGTCTTAACTCTGCCTGAACATCATGTGGCCGATACGATGGCTAATTGACCAACTATGTGTGGTTCGTGAATATTTCAGTTGGCGTACATTCAACTTGAATGATTCGAGTTACGACAGTGATTCTTGTGGAACAGTTTTGCCCGCGAATGTCAACACGCTTTAAACGATGGAGGATGATTTGGAAAGTAAGATTGCAGTTTAGTGAAACGCTCGGCTAGTCCAATTAGAGATGTAGTAGGACTTAACTCATTCAGTAGGGGGAACGAGGAACTCCCCTCACTAATACGGCCAACTAGTGTTGAAATTGAAGTTCCTATTATCGCCGTTTGTCGATACTTCAGTTAGGCGCAGGTTCGAATCCCACGGACGTCATTTTTAACGCATTTATTTTTTGCTGACATTCCACACATTACTAACCCGCAGTAATTGATCTTGTTCAAGACTTCAGTTGTTCTCGCGTGAACGATGACTGCTCCTCTCGATGTCCATGGTGTATTCATTGGCATTGATGGTTTTGAGATAAGAAACACGTTAATGAAGATGCTCAAAGTGAGGCTTTGACGAACATCCTTTTCTCGGCAAAGTCGATTATAAAGAAACTTTTAAGGCCAAAAAAAGTTTTTTTTTTCTCGGGAGAGCAAAAAATTTTTTGAGAGATTTTTTTCGGGGAAAAAATTCTTATTGTCTGGCGTGGTCGATGAATTCGGTAATTAATTTTGCATCTACGCAGTGTGATAAAATATGGACATAGTCGACCACATGTGTTGCTGACAATATCAAGGAAATTTTGGATAGTTCTTGTTAGTTTCTGTACACTACTAGTGTATTCTCCCGACTCGTATATAAACATCTATGAGGAACTATTAAGCTCAACTGAGGAAAGCGAACGTTTTTTTCCAACACTGCATCTGCGTGCTAATTTCGTACGCAGACCCAAATTATGGATATATACTTTATTTATATTTTATGGGGTATTTATACCTCAAGTGAAACGGGAGGAGCTTCGTTGAATTGAGTACATTGGCGTTTCACAGCTCGTTTTACGTGAAGTGGCGTCGAAATACGCGATATTATTCGCGGTGATATGCAGTAGTCGTGAAATATATTTCCCACTGGTATTTTTCATATCACTAGGGCCGCCCGTGAAACTACATTAAATCAATTATATTGAATATTCATGCATATTCATTTAATATCATTATCGGAGTTTCGCGGCCCGTTTTACGTGAAGTGGTGTAAAACTCGGTGAAAAACGCGGTGATGTTTGCGGTGATATGCAGTAGTCGTGAAATACGTTTTTCACTAGTGTTTTTCATATCACTAGGGTGGTGAAACTCCATTGTATTCAGGAGTTCCCAGGGGGTATTGCCGGGCGTAGACTCCTGAGCTTTTTCGAGAGTATTGAGCACGAGAACTGGATGCTAAGGTGAATCGTCTATTATCATATTCGATATGAACGAATTGCGCTCTTTACGGTACGGCCTTTACCGTTGCAGAACTCAAAAAGTGACTTTGGTTTCGATATTATATGGTCCTTGTTATTAGAGCCAAACTGAGATGGTTAATGCGGGGCTCGGGGGAGGAGGAGGAGGAGGAGCGACAGACGAATATTTTAGTGACAAGAGTCTGGGAACGGGATGAAGACCTCGGTAAGAATGATGATATGTTGTTAGAGTGTTGGAGTAGGAATATATGTAATCACTTTCCTCAGCTGCTGAGCTCATTGACTACTGAGAAGAGCTTATATGCGAATTCGGGTAGAAGTGTGCAAAAACTAAGATGAATTTCCTCAAAATTTTCATATTATCATCGACACATGTAGTTGGCCATATGCATATCACCTTGTACTGATTTCTCATATTTAGGACTAAAATAAATATCGTTAGTAAACACATTAATAGTAACTATCTTTATACGTTGGTAGAATCATATAACATTTTTGTCGTATGGAGGTAAATCAGTAATAGTTGATCATGCAGTTTATCAATGGAGTTTTACGGGCGGCCCTAGTGATATGAAAAACACTGGTGAAAAATATATTCCACGACTACTGCGAATATCGAGCTCTTCACGGAGTTTTACACCACTTCGCGTGAAATGGGTTGTGAAACTCCACTATAATGTGATTAATAGTATTATCAGCGATTACATCTATTCATAATACTTTTATATTATTAATGTTATGGTTTTCCCTTTATCCTCTTACTTTGGTAACAGCTGTATTCACAGCTGAACTCAAATTTCGTATTATCACCGACACATGTAGTTGACCATGTGCATATGTCCTTCCCCCGAAATTAGGGTGAAGTATAGCATGTGAAAGAGGTGAAGTTTTTGAGAAGTCACATTTTTGGAGTATATTCAAAATCAATTTGAAATACTGTATGAACAGCTGTTTTGATACTCTCTTTGAAGGTTTCGATAGATAGCGCTCTATTACTACTAGTAGGTGTGTGGTCAGCCACATATGTTGGTGCTAATACGAAAATTCGGAGGAAATTCTCGGGAAAATTATTGGTGGTTTCTGTACATTTCTACACTAGTTTGTATATAATGTAGCTCTGGAAATTCCTAGACTCAGCTGAGGAAAGCGAACATATGTATATTTCTCCAATAACTGTGTTTACTATAGGAAACGTGAAGGGAACTCAAACGGAAAATGAGGAGGAAAAGCGGAACGTGTTTGACGTCTCTGTGGAGACCAACAGTGAAGAAGTTGAGGAAATTTTATATGCGGAAAAAAGAAGGTTGGTATAATTTTTCACGCAAGTGGATGGATTATTTTGAGGTGTTTTCAGAGTTGAGTTTCCTGGGAGAATGATCGACAGCGTAACGCAAACGGAAGATAATAAGATGGTGAGTTGGGAGAGGTGTGGTATGTGGAGGTGTTGGAGTAGGAATATATGTAATCGCTTTCCTCAGCTGAGCTCAGGAGTTTCCTATACAGTGTTGGAGTAGGAATATATGTAATCGCTTTCCTCAGCTGAGCTCAGGAGTAACTACAGCTAATTGTAGAAGTAGGGTAGAAGTGTACAGAAACCAATATGGATTCCCTCAGAGTTTTCATATTGTCATCAACACATGTACTTGATCACAGTGTTGGAGTAGGAATATATATGTGGTTTTTTCGATAGCTGAGCTGAGGAGTTTCCAAAGCTAATTATAGAACTAGGGTAGAAGTGTATAGAAAACCAATAAGAATTTGAATCTATTTTTTTTCAGAATTTTTACGTTGATACCAACAAATGTATTAGAATATATGTTCGCTCTCCTCAGCTGAGTTCAGGTGTTTTTACACGATTCATAAAGTGTACAGAAAGCGATGAAAATTTGGCGAATTTTTTCTTCTGAATTTTCAACACATGTAGTTGATCATGTGCGTATTCTCATATACTGGTGGGAAACTGGTTTTAGGATGGTAACATTTTGGAAGAAAAACTAGAGGGAAAGGGAAAGGAAAAAAACAAAATTGAGCTGATGAAAAATGACATGGAAATTGAAGGAATTATGGTTGAGCTCGGGAGCGCCGAGAAATTGGAAAAAATTAACGCGGAAATGACAAAAGAATTGGAAAAAAATCGGAAAAAATTAGAAGAAGAATGTCGGCTGAACGCAGAGCTGAGGGAACGACTTGCGAGATGTGAAGTGGAGGTGGAGTCGGCAGAAGTTGAGGAAAGTGCGGTATGTATTGATGGCGAAAATAACGATTTTGAGGAGAAAACTGTGGCTGATTATGGAAAAATTGAGAAAAAATGTTGTTGTTGTGAAGATGAGCTATGGCGAGAATTGGAGAATGCTCGGGCGCAGTTGAGAAGTTATGAAAAGGAAATTGAGAGATTAAATTTCGCACTAGGAAGGAGTGACAAGATGGGAATTAATCGCGGATTGAAAACACGATGGAGATCTGGAGAAGGGCGCGATGTGTGGTCGAGGTTGTATTGCAATGCTAAAGAGCGTGAGGAAAAATTGAAAAAATCACAGGAAAAATCGAAAAAAAGATATAATGAATATTGGGCGCGCGCTTTTTACATATCGGATGATGGCGATGATTCGGATGGAAGTATTTGGGTTGATTCGAGGTGAGTTGGGTGAGGTGTGGTATGTGGTGGTGTTGGAGTAGGAATATATGTAATCGCTTTCCTCAGCTGCTGAGATCAGGAGTTTCCTATACAGTGTTGGAGTAGGAATATATGTAATCGCTTTCCTCAGCTGAGCTCAGGAGTTTCCTATACAGTGTTGGAGTAGGAATATATGTAATCGCTTTCCTCAGCTACTGAGCTCAGGAGTTTCCTATACAGTGTTGGAGTAGGAATATATGTAATCGCTTTCCTCAGCTACTGAGCTCAGGAGTTTCCTATACAGTGTTGGAGTAGGAATATATGTAATCGCTTTCCTCAGCTACTGAGCTCAGGAGTTTCCTATACAGTGTTGGAGTAGGAATATATGTATCGCTTTCCTCAGCTACTGAGCTCAGGAGTTTCCTATACAGTGTTGGAGTAGGAATATGTGTTCGCTTTCCTCAGCTACTGAGCTCAGGAGTTTACATATGAATTCGGTAGAAGTGTATATAAACTAGGAAGAATTTCGCAGAAAACATTCCTCGGAATTTTCATATTGTCATCAACACATGTAGTTGACCACAGTTTTGGAGTAGGAATAAATTTTGGGGATCCTCAGCTGAGCTCAGAAATTTCCGAGTTCACATGCGAATTTGGGTAGAAATACACAGAGAATATTCTGCCGTTTTTTCATCACCAACACATGTGGTTGACCATGTGCGTATTCAGGTTGAAGCCGTCGTTCCTTGATCGAACTCGTGGGAGGAAGGTGAGGTCGTGGTGTGTTGTGAAAAAGTCGAATTATGGTATGGCTCGCAGAGATGTAAAGTGATGTCCCTCCTCGGATACGCAAAAGTATATTGGATTTTCACGGGCGGCTGGGATATGAAAAACACTAGTGAAAAATATATTTCACGACTACTGCATATCACCGCGAAAAATGTCGCGTTTTTCACAAAGTTTTACGACGCCACTAATGACAATCTTAAACTATATGCGCTTTGATTATTAGAAGTCTTCAGAGTCGTAGGAATTTACGTCTAGCAATGTTCCTGTTGTGTGTATAGGAAGATTTCTTTGTTAGTTACCACGTGGAGCTTTGCTACCTCCGACGAACTCACTTGGCACGAGTACGAGGTGGCATTCGTCATCGAGTGGCATGTGGGACTCAATAGACTCGTGAGCTGACTGTTTGAGCTGTGGTGTAGATGGAAATATTCAGATTTGTTGTGACGTCACGAAGGTGATGAAGAATGAGAATTGTTCATGTTATGGTTTTTGTTGTGATAAGAGAATTATACACGAAGTGTAGATTGTACGAGTCACAAGTGAAAACGTTATTGACTTTAATTAGTCAAGGCTTGAATCAGTTAAGTTATGGTAGAGTTCATGATGAAAAATGATTGTGGTGAAGCTGTGGTGAGTTGTTGTTGTTGTTGTTGCACACGGAAGGATATTTAGTTGATGTAAAAGTGTTATATGGCCATATGGGGGAGTCGATCTCGGGGTCTTTGGGTTGTGGATATGTCGCACTAACTATTACACCAAAATTACTGGTAAGGTTGTGGTGTCCTGTGTTGGAGGGGAGAGTGATAGGGATGTATGTTGGAGGGGATTGGTGGAGCAAGTGAGGCGTTAGGGAATTGTAAGTATGCGAGATTCTAGATGTTGTGTTGGCGAGTTTGTCATCATGCATCCTCAATCGAGTTTTTGGTAGTTTATGAGTTCCGTTGTAAGCTACTGCCACTTTGGTGTAGTTTCGTTGGCCAACTACATGTGTTGGTGACAATATGAAAATTTGAGAAGTTATTGTTGGTTTATGTATACTTGTATACGAATGAGGAAAGCGAACATATATTCCTTTAACACTGGAACTGTTGGTTTTGAATAATGAGATAAGGCTAGTTATGGATAGTAACAATCTGGTATTATTCTGGTTTGTGTAAAGTGGGTGAATAATTACTTGCTGTTTTTGTATATGTTGTTTATGTTGTTTCTGTTGTTGTTGTTGTTGTTGTTGTTGTTGTTGTTGTTGTTGTTGGTGTTGTTGTTGTTGTTGTTGTTGTTGATGTTGATGATGATGATGATGATGATGATGATGATGATGATGATGATGATGATGATGTTGTTGTTGTTGTTGTTGTTGTTGTTGTTGTTGCTGTTGTTGTTGTCATTGTTGTTGTTGTTGGGCGATTTTACGGTTTTTCTATTAGTTTGTTGGTGGTTGTTATTCTTCCTCCTCCTCGTGTATGGATACTACCCCTCCTACTCGCGCTAACACTCCTGAATTAAACATGCTCAACGACTCGACGCTTAATAAGGACGAACACGATGATGCGGCTGCTGTGGTGGTTGTGGTGGAAGATTCTCTGAGGAACGGCGAAGAAGATATTTCTGCGCACGCGGAAGATTGTGGGAATGGTGGAGAGAAATGGGAGAAGGATGCTAAAGAGAAGTGGGAAAAAGATGGTAAAGATTGGGAAAAAGATGGGGAAAAATGGGAAAAAGATGGTAAAGATTGGGAGAAAGATGGTAAAGATTGGGAAAAAGATGGGGAAAAATGGGAAAAAGATGGTAAAGATTGGGGAAAAGATGGTAAAAATTGGGAAAAAGATGGGGAAAAATGGGAAAAAGATGGTAAAGATTGGGGAAAAGAAGGGGAGAAATGGGAAAAAGATGGTAAAGATTGGGGAAAAGATGGGGAGAAATGGGGAAAAGATGGTAAAGATGATGATAATAAATCAAAGTGGACTTGGGATTACGAGAAGAACAGTTGGGTTAATGCCGATGGGGAAGTCAGGAAAGAAGGAAAAAGGTAAAATAAATAATAATAGAGTTTTACGCGTTTTTAAACTCGGTGAAAAACGCGATATTCGCGGTGATATTTTTCATATCACAGCCGCCCGTGAAACTCCAATATTATAAATTTTACGATTTTTCTTTTAGTGATGATCCCACCGCGAATAAACAAGAACAATCTGGTCTGCAGACTTTGATAGAAAGATGGGGAGAAGGAGAGGTAAGAAGTTTTATTTTCTTATAATTCGATAATATGGAAAAATAAATTCTATTATTATAGTATTTTATTAGTAAATTACCAAATTATTATTACTATTTGTTTTTTTCCAACGTGGAGTTAATTTTTTTTATTTTTTTTATTTTTGTTACAGTCAAATTGCCATCGTATTTTTTCATTTGTTCTATGGGCATTCCTTCGGGAAAATTGGTTTTTATTTATTTTTTGTTGTTGATTTTTTTGACGATATTTCTCATCTTGATTTTTTTGTTGCCAAAACTGCCATCATATCAGCAGAATTTCAAAATTTTTAGAGTAAAATTATATTTTTTTGGGATAACAAATTTTCAAGTTCCTATGGTGAAGTATCTTTTTTTACTATTATGTGTTTTATATAAACATTGTTATTGCTGGAATCTTATTGTTATATGTTCGCTTTCCTCTGCTGAGCTTAGGAGTTTTCTCGCTAATTACGGGGGATTCTGCACGAATTTGGGTAGAGGTGTATGAAAAACAAGGGGATTTTTTCCCGAAAATTTCCTCAGATTTTTTATGTTTTTTTTCAGGGATACTGCCCAGTTCTACCAGAAATCGATTGGCAACGAATTTTGCCAAAATTTCCGCAAATTAATAAGGAATTTTACAGGGAGCACCCAGTGGTAAGAAATGTGATTGAAAAAAATTAAGATTTTGCATTTTTCAGGTAACTAATCGCAGTGAGCTTGAAGTTGACGTATTTCGCAAGAAAAATAAAATTCATATTGTTGCTGGTGACGACGTGGCGAAACCAGTGACGACTTTTGATGAGGCTAGTTTCCCTTCGTAAGAATTTTTTGGGGGGGAGGAAATTTTTTCAACGATTTTTCGGAAAATATGTGTGTTGGTGAAGATATGACGGAAAATTTGGAGTTTTTGTTGTTTTTTATGCTTCTACGCTGAGTCGTTTCTGTGATGTGGCTTTGGAAATTTCTGAGCTCAGGTGAGGAAATTAGGCTGGAATATATGGATAACAGTTTATCAAAATATGGTCATGATCATTGGAAGATACTCATTGGTTTTTGTACACTTCTTACTGAATTCGTATATAAACTCCGGAAATTTAGAGCTCAGCTGAGGAAAGCGAACAAATATTTCTTCAACACTGCTTCTAGTATGATGCTAGATAACAAGATTTTTTAATACTGGAGCTTCACAACTCGTTTTACGTGAAGTGGCGTAATATTTCATGTGAAAAACGCGATATGCAGTAGTCGTGAAATATGTTTTTCATATCACGGCCGCCCGTGAAACTCCATTGTATGATCTCGTAACGTTTACTTTTATAAAAAATGTGGAGTTTGAAAATTTATATTTTCGTAGATATTTGACCAAGAAGTTGCATATTTCGTATCCCAACGGCTCTCCTACTCCGATTCAAGCACAAGTGTGGCCAGTAGCTTTACAGGGTAGAGATATAGTTGCGATAGCAGAAACAGGCAGGTGAGATAAGAGGAGGAGGAGGAGGAGTGGTAATTGTAATTGTGGTGGAAATTTTTTTTCGTAATTTGAGGAAATTTTTGAAGAAAAATTCCGGGGATCTATCGGTGTTTTATGCACAAATTCGTTTTTTTTGTGTTTTTTTTGTAATTTTCCGTAGGGGGAGTTGTAATTTTTTGTAGTTTGTAATTTTTGTGGTGAAAAAGTTGTGCGGAATTGATGTTCGAGAGAAAATTTTAGAGAAAAAAATTTGGTGATTTCGTATTTTTTCGGGTCGTATTTTCCGTTTTTTTATTTTTTTTCATTTTGAAATTTGTTAAGTATTATCATATTATTGGTAATTTTTTTTCTCCTGATTTTACGATTCTTTAATTTGAATAGTTCTTCCCATTGGGACAGCTGCAGTGGAGTCCCGATGTTGTTGTTGTTGTTTTTCCCAGTGGAAAAACGTTGGCTTATCTCCTTCCTGCAATCGTCCATTTGAATAATCAACCACCCGTGACGATCCCTGGCGAGCCGATAGTGTTGGTGTTGGCGCCTACAAGAGAGTTGGCGAGTCAAATCGCGGAAGAGGTAGTAGTAGTAGTAGTAGTAGTAGTAGTAGTAGTAGTAGTAGTAGTAGTAGTAGTAGTAGTAGCTTCCCAATTCTCGTTTAGGCGTTGTATTTCGGAGCAGCAGTCCGAGATGATGGAGCTGAGGCATTGAGAGTTACGTATCTTTTTGGAGGAGTAAAGAAAAGGGAACAAGTAGAGCAGATGAATCGTGATGTGTAATAAAGGGAGGGGGGGGGTGGGGGGGGAGGCGTGAGAACTGAGATGAAAAGAAATTTAAATTTGAAATTTCCGTGATAGAGAATAATACTTGTCATCTTTATCTTCGTCAGTGTTGGTAATATTTTGGAATTTTGGGAAGAGTGGTGAAGTTTTTTTGTGAGTTTTAGTGGAAATTGTTGAATATTGTTAAATTTTAACGGAAAATTGTGGGGTTTTTTGCTAAATTTCAACGGATAAATGTGGAATTGTGGTAAATTTTCATGGAGAAATGTGGATTTCTGATAATTTTTTAATGGAAAATCGTCGATTTTTTGCTGAATTTCAACGGAAAAATGTGAATTTCTGGTAAATTTTCTCGGAGAATTCTACTTTTGTTGAACTCTCACGGGAAAGTGCGGATTCATGATATGAGTCAGTTTCTGGTAAATTTTTACGATTTTTACGATTTTTACGATATTTACGAAGTTTTACGAAATTTTTACAGATTATTTTTACGTGAAATTGTGGATTTTTGCTGAATTTTCCGGAAAATTGTAAATTTTATGAAATACTTCTTGTAATTTTCAGGCCTGATATGATCGTAGCTACTCCTGGGAGGTTACTTGACATGATGTCCGACGGCGGCGTCTGTTTAAGGAGAGTTACTTTCTTTGTGGTGGACGAAGCTGATCGAATGATTTTATTGGGATTTTGGAAACAAGTTAAAACGGTAATAACGGGAGAGGAGGAATTGTGTACAATCGAGTTTCACTCGTTTTACGTGAAGGGGCGTAAAACTCGGTGGAAACGGTATGTAGTAGTCGTGAAATATGTTTTTCATATCACTAGGGTGAAACCTCAATATATGCAAGTTTTGTGAATTTTTCGAGAATTTTCGAGAAGTCGAGTTTTGACTTTGGTATTATTCAGATATCCCAGCAGATTCGTCCGGATCGACAATGCATTATGTTGAGCGCGACGTGGCCTGAGGAGGTGAGTTGGCGAAGGGGTGGTATGGATGTTTAGGATGAAGTGGCTGTGTAATTATTTATGTATATTATAAAACGTAGATGTTTCCGCGACCGATAATGAAATTGTTTTCCTTGGAGTGAAATGTGTTTTTTTTCATATCACGGAAGAAAATTGAATATTTGTGTAGGTGAGAGATGTGTCGTTGAAGCTGTGCAGAGAGGATCCAGTTCATATCAATGTTGGTGATATTTCGGATAATATTGACGATTCGGATCCTTATAATCGCGAGAAGTTGAGAACTGCTCGCAGTGTTAAACAGGTGAGTTGGCGAGGGGTGTGGTATAATATGCGAAATGGAAATTTTGGTATATACTCAATTACTCTTCTACTTTTTACTCGGATTCATAATTAGTGAGGAAACTTGTAAGCTCTTGATATATATTGCCACACTGGGAAGGTGATGAGTTCGATGCCGCTGTGTGTAGGAAATTATATGCGTTCCTCGAAGTGACAAGTTCTACCATCTCCTGAACGAGCTGTTGCCAATGTGTTTTAAGGACCATGATAATAAGAAAAGGGATACTAAGGTGAGATTTGGAGGAAATGTGGTATGGACGAATTTTTTTCATTTAATTTTTTGAAAATTTTAAAATTTTCAAATTTGGAATTGAAATTTTCGCTGAAATGGAATATAAGAAATTTCTGGAGAGTATGATGGTCGAATGTAGGTGGAAGCATTGACTCTCAGAGATTGAATAACGATTTTAGTGATTTCAAGTAATTTAATCGTAGTAAGATTGGAGTCTCACCTGTTTTACCTGGATTAATCATCAATCAGTGAATAATAATGGAGTTTCACCCGTTTTCCGCGAAGTGAAATGTGAAATGTGTTTTTCACTAGTGTTTTTCACATCACTAGGGTGAAACTCCAATGAATAGTAATCATGGATGAAACTCTCCTAATTGAGTCACTGATTTTCTCGGAGTGATTTTCTAGGGGAGTTTTTGGTGCATCGTGCAGGTGTTGATATTTACATCTGGGAAAAAGTCGGTTGATAATTTGGTGGGATGTTTGAGACAAATCGGGTGGCCAGCGGTGGGGATACATTCTGGGAAGGAACAAGCGGAGAGGGAATGGGTAGTAGCAGAGGAGGAGGAGGAAAAATTTAGGATAAATTTTCGGAATTTTCGCGGAAATAAATTTTCGAAGAGATTGGATTGGAATGAATTTTGATCATTTCGTATATCCTTTTGAGAAGAGGAGATTCACTCTGAGCTCTTTTGAGTCGACTCAAAAAAGGAAAAAAGAAAAAAAGAAAAAAAGGAAAAAGAGGGAAAAAAGGAAAAAAAGGGAAAAATTCCTTACGATTTTCGTGGGGAGTTGATATGTTTCTATCTAAATTTGCGTGTTTATAAGATACTCTATTTCGTGAATTTTCTTTGAAAATTCTGTTTTTGAGCATCTCGCATTGTGACCGATTTATTGTGATTTGGAAAATCAGATTCTTTTTATGATTTTTTTATTTCTTATCAGATTTTCGATCAATTTAAGGGTCGATTGAATACCGAGGATCATTCGAGAGCTAGTCGCGCGGAAGCGGTGATTCTCGTTGCCACTGATATTATGGCACGTGGAATGGACTTTGTTAGTGTAATAATGGGAGGGGTGAAATTAGATTTTTCGCTCTATTTTTGAGGACGTATAGTACTGGATGAATAAGTTGGGGAAATTTGGGTGATTTTTTGATAATTTATTCCGCCAGGTTCGTTATGTAATTAATTTTGATTTTCCGGAGTCGTGCGAAGATTACATCCACAGAATTGGAAGGACAGGAAGGGCTGGGCATCAGGGAAATGCTTATAGTTATTTCTCAGAGAACGATTTTTGGGTGGCTCGGTGAGTTGATCGTTGGTGGGATAATAAACTTGTTCCCTATATGAGCTTATGAGTAAAAATATAAATATTGTTGTTTGTGGTATGGGAATCAAACTCGTATTTTACTTGGCGGAAAACTTATGTGAGCAGTGAATATTTTGGCGTGTTTTATGTGATGTGGGGCAATTTGCGAATTGTTTTTAATTCATTTTCATATCGTGACTATCGCGTTAATCACATCACTTCACGTAAAGAGGGTGAAACTCCGTTGATATTATATGCAATGCTTTCCGATTACGGGTGGTGAAAAAGGGTGAAACTGCATTTACTACCGAATTTAGAAAATCTATGCTAATAATAATAACAGTGTATATACTAAAACACGATAATTTTATATAAGATTTGAACGCCTTCAAAATCGTATATTTATTGATATTACTAGTAATCTCTTCGAATCGTAGGAGGAGCATTTTTTATGTGTTTTTTTCGCTTAGAGAAATGATTCCACTACTGAGAGAATCAAATGTTGATATTCCACCGATGATGTTGAAGGTTGCGGAAGACCCTGCGTATTGGCCGAGGAACGCTAGGAAAAGCGTGAGCAAAAAATCTTAAATTTTGAAAATTTTTGGGAAAATTTTTTGTAGGGCTATGGTGGTTCGGTTGGGAATAGTTGGAAGAATGATGATGAATGTGGTAGAGGCGCGAGCGGAGAAAAGTGGAATTCGAGGAGCGGTGGAAATTGGAATGACAATAAGAGTAATAACAGGGGGGAAAATATGTGCATTGTGGCGGTGGAAAATTGTTAAAACGGTGTAGTTTTTCCGGGGGGGAGAATGGTAATTTTTTGTTATTCTGGGGCTGGAGTACATTTTAATATTTATGGGAAAATATGTGTTGGTGATAATATGAAAATTCTGAAAAAAATTCTTGTTGGTTTCTATACACTTGTGTAACTCTCGAGCTCAGCTGAAGGAAGTTAACGTAGATTTCGAGGAATTGAGGAAAGATCAGTTTTTATGGGGTTTTGGTTTCAGATGGCGGTCGTGGAGATTGGAAGAACGATCGTGATGGTGGCGGTCGTGGAAAATGGGAAGGAAGAAGTGGAGGAGGAGGATGGAAGAATGATGATAGTCGAGAGAGTCGTGGAGGTGGTCATAATAGGGAGTTGGTGATGATGTTGTGGTATGTGGACATTTTATCGAGAATAACTTGATAATTTTTATGTCTCAATATTCTAGATAACTATTGTATGAAATTTACGAAAATAGTAAAACTATTCTCATTTGAAACGTTAATGGATAAAGGGGAGAAAAATTCGGGGAAGGATTTGTAATGGTAACAGTTACAACGATTATTAACGATTTCTCAAATTGGATGCCAAAGTTTTGCATTTTTACGGTTTTTGTATTGTAAAAATCAAAAAGTGTAGCATTGTGTGTATCATTGGAGTTTCACTGGCGATATGAAAAACATATTTCACAGTTCACGTCGTGTAAGTTGGGTGAAGTCGTTTTCGGGCCCAGCGAGTTTGAAGTCTTGTTTATCGATTTTTTTCGTCGTTGATCGTAGTGTGATAGAATTTTTGATTTCATATTTCGATGGTGTAAATATGTAAATTTAGACTGATTTTTGTATTGTAGAAATCAAAAGATGTTTTGAGGGATGTAGCATTGGATGGTGTATTACTGGAGTTTCACCGGCGATATGAAAAAATATATTTTAGAGTTCACGTCAGGAACCCATTTAGCTTTCGGAGATAACGTTCCCCAGGGTTTGATAACAATGGGGAAGAATATTTCTGACGTGATGACATTTACATGGGAAACTGATTGAAGAATAGGATCCTAGCCATACGCGGAAAATTGAAAATGAGTTTCACCCGAGAACATTATAGGTTTCTGGATGATTTCCTGGTTCACGTCGCGTAAAATGGGTGAAGTCGAACTCTCGTTTATCGATTTCCTCCTTCGTCGTAGATTGTAGTATGGTAGAATTTTAGATTTTGTTTATATGTCGATGGTGAATATATATGAATTTTTATACAGATTTTTTTGTGAGCTTCCCATATGTAGGTAATTATGGATCCTCTCGAAGTACGTGGCAGTGATTCTGTCGTTTTGGTGATCGATAGGAAATAATTTAGGACGCGATGGCTACTTTCTGCGAGTTGTTACAAAGCTGTGAGTCTCTGATTGTTTATGAAGATGGAGTTGTGTTGGTTGGGCGGAGTAATGGGCTTCATGCGGAAGTGATATTCATGGAAAGGAGAATTTTATTCTGGATGATTGGAAATTCAGAGCGTTGGATAGGTTAGTTTGCAGAAATTTTTTTCTTTTAATCGTCAGTATACTCAACTGAATGTCTAGGACAGAATGTCACATTCAGGCGTTATACAGCGCAAACCAAACCGGTCTGTAGGTCACTGTCTTGAAGTTGGGAGAATGGAAGAGTTTATCAGCGAGTCTTAAAGTTCAAGAGGTATGTAGTTATCGTAGTAACGATCGATTGACAACATTTCTGAAGCATTCATTATCATATACTGGAGCTTCATCCGTGATATGAAAATGCTAGTGAAGAACACATTTCACATCGCGTAATACGCGTTTCAACAGCGAAAAACACGTGTGAAATGCTTCTGTTATACTATAACACATGTGGTGTTTTGCGCGTGTATAACGCGAAATGACTTTGCCTTTTTCGCTAGAATGGGAAGGCGATTCAGATTGAACGCGGAGACACTCGGCAAGGAGACACAGTTAGTTGGCTACGCCCGTATCGGTCTGTTGATGATATAGGAAATCAGAATTGATTAGAATTCGACGGCAGGTCACCAGCTTGCAAACGCAACATCGGCATGTTGTTTACAGAGAACCGAAGCGCCTAGGAAAACCCGATGCACGTTCGACAATGCTGTGCAGAGAAGTGCTGCTCTGGCTGAAGATGATTTCCGCGTCACCCAGAACGGCGGGTACGCTTGTGAGTCGTCGAGTGAAGAGGAATTAAGCGGGCGAAGGAAATTGATCTAAAATGTTAATTTTGCAGCAACCACAGTTTGTGGAACAGCAGCATGAGGTTCGTGACGCTCCCAGAACCATATTTTTCGTTCGTTCATCAGAAACTTCGGTCCCCGCTTAAATACAGGCCCACATTGATCCTGAGCCTTCACTACTCGACTCACCGTAGCTTGGTTGACCTGCTGAGCTCGAGCAATCTCCTCTTGGGTGTAGCGTCGACGACCGTCTGTGCCTCTCTCCGCATGCATCGCGCGGATACGCGCCCTATCTGCTGAAGTCAGGTTTTTGTTCTTCGACATAACCCAAAGTAATGAGTCATTACTAATGACAGGACGTGGGTGGTCATGGTGGTTGACGGCGGGGCAATTTGGGTGCTTCAATGGTGCCCTATGACCAAAATCCTAGGGTGTTTCAAGAATATGCTAAGAATATGTGTATACACTGAAAAACTTGCAGTACAACTCAGTTATTGCTTTTCAGCATTCCCAACATAAGTTATTAACTACGGCTGTAGTGCTGTCGACACTCCTACACATACTACTCCTTCCACATATTTTTCCACTTGTAGTCACTTTGTGCGTCTGTTTTGAATTTGTCGTTGGCTAAAGCCACAATATATAATGCAATGTAACATGATTTCTACGCTTTCTAAACATTTGTTTATCTTATTGTAAGATCGCCTCATTTGTTTCCTTGTAATCATATACATGTTTAGATTCAAACACTCGCGAGTCTGCACCTTCAACACCTTTGCATATCTTGCAGGATAACAACGAAGAGTATGAGACAACGGAAGTAAACTCAATCAACGACAGGGAAAACACTTATTCTCCACGGACCAGTGACACGTCGTTCGTTTTCTACTTATTTCGATGCAGATACTTTGTTAACACAAGTTGTTAATGGTATTTGTGCTTACTACATCGTGACTATTCATGGTGTCAGATAATTTACGAAATACAAAGATATTGAGTGGTCCACAAACGAAAGAGATGCATAATTCTCTTCATCACATCTACGGTGTTGGGGAAATTTGCGATAATATAGACGACATAGATATGACTCAGTTACCTCCTCCAAATTTACCAAGTACGATTAATCTTTGTCGTTCGTTTATTTGCTACGTACATATTCTCCTTTTACTAGGTGGGGTCAAACAGAAAAGCACGAGTTTCGAACGCAGTAAGCTGAAATTATCTCAAGGTGATATGATATAGCCCGTCTCTCAAGTAATGTTGACGTTGAATTTTTCCTAGCTCTCGTATAGCGCAAGAAGTGCAAAAACCCTACGAAAGAGGAATATCCTGAACGATTTCCCCATGGAAAATACATGAAGAAAGGTTATCTTCATATTTTTGAAATGAACCATTTACATGGTGAATCTATTTCGGTGTAGGTTTGGCACTTCTTTTGATATATATTTTCGGACCATTAAGACAAATATTTACTACGTCATGCGACTATGGATACACTTATTAGAGAATAGATCGTACGTTTTTTGATCAAAGTCCTCATCGGTGGACGCAGGAAGTTATTTGGGTTGTTCAGATAGCTGCGGAGAAATACCTGGAACGTGTGTATCAAACGTGCTCGTTTTGTTTACATTGTCTTGACTGTGACACTTTGACTCCATCTGTATTCCTACCCTCAACTTACCTTGTGGGTGACGAAAAAGTCAATAGTCTATTTCGTTATCGTACTTTCGATTTATTGGGCTACAACGTAACGTTCCCTACTACAGTAGCTAATCGTACTCAGTACGAAGCAGAAGGTCTACGTGCAGCTGAATATACGTATCTGGGAGAAGGCAGTAGCAGATCACATCAGTCTCTGGGAAATCAAGAAAAAAAGGAAGTCACCAACTAAGAGAAGACTTACGAAACGCAATCTTGGAGTAAAAATGCATTTTAGACTTTCATGTTTATCACATTTTCTTCCAGATTATTTTTTCTGCAATTTTTTACTACTTGGTGAGTACCGCATGTCAGGACCGCATGCCAATTCTAACATCAGGGAGGCTTTGACTCGTCTTGCCAGGACCGTTTATGCCGCGTTCGCTAGCCAGACTGCTGCTGATGATTACACCATGCTAGTGCAGGAGTACGAGGCTGCCAAGGCTAACCCACTTGCCTAATGACTAGGGATGTCAAGAACAACTGTCTGTGCTCGCAAGGTACAGCATGTTATTCTCTTTTCATGTACTTTGTTGTATTTCAGACTTATATTTCTGGCTGAAATTGGATGCCGATATGCGAGGGTTTCTCTTGTATCCGAGCTGTTTTCTCGATTCCTGTACACTTATTGATCAAAGTGTAACCCAAGCTATTAAAGGTGGTATTGAGACGTTATCTAGATCGCTTAAATTATGTACTTATGAATCATAAGTTACGATGAAGTCGCTGATGCGTTTGTGTATTGGATCCAATGTAAGTCAACATGTCTGATTTAGTGATCACATCTTGTAGGTATTTTCAACTACGATGAATCTTGCTTGCACATTCTTCTGCAGTTATCTAACACTGTCTGGTCTGTTGTAAACTCCATGACGGATTTCTGGGGGTAAGATTAATTATCAATTCCAACAGATATGTCTAACATTGGCGTGACATACCTTCGACGTATTTTACCTTACCTGTATATCTTTTAATTAAATTGCACGTCTACAGTTCGTACTCTTCACTTTGTACATGTATAGTTCAATATGCATAGATCAGTATTAGTCCACATCGCAAATAGATGTGCTGTAAACAAGATATTCCTGTGAACATCATACTTATTTGCAATAGAAGTAGCAGCGTCGTTAAAAGGAAGCATACTCGGACAAGTGTATCCAGCGTTTAGCCTCGTGGTACCTTCGATTAAAACAGTAGCTTGCGTAAACACTGTTTACTAAACAGAGATAAGACATCAGGTGCTCTATACAATATACATAACATAGGTTGAATTTCGAAAAAATCACCTAAAACTTCGCGTGCAATTAAATTTGGAGCGTGTTAAATTGTATATAAAATGTGACACATAGCAGGAGACAAAGACGTACCCAGCTAGCCATGTATAAGTATCGTTGTGGATATTTAAAGCAGCCCCGTCTTCACACATATAAAATGTTACTTGCAGAGTATCACTTATTGAACCGCTCTAGTAATCACCCAACGAATGAGGCACACTTTTACGAGCTTCAGCTTTTCCTTATCCTCTACTCAAGTTCAGACCAAAATCAGCAGCACCGTGATTAAGATCGTCTGCATACAAAAAACCTCGTATGAGGAATCTATCACATGGAACGTTACGTCGTAGAAAATCGTATAGTTTATCATCCAGCCTTGACAAATCTACGTAATTATTAATCACTAATCAGTAAAAGTCCAGTCTAATAAGGTATTACGATCAGTTGAAGGATATTGTTGAGATATAGCAGTGAACGTTCTTTGCAACAATGTAATGTAACATGTAAAAGAAGTCTGGTCTAATGCATCATGAGGCTTAAATAAATACTTATGGAGAGGAGAAGCAACGTTAGTGTCGTAAAAAGCAGCACGACCGAAAAATAAATGAGTGTTTATCCATACTAGTCGATTAAGCTTCTCATTATTATCAAACGACAAGTTTACTTAATACACATCGTTATCTTGAGGAATGCCACTTAGATCATCTTTTGGTCTCTTCGTATCATTGTAAAAGTCTCGAGTTGCAAAGACAATGTTATGATCATCATAGTTAAGGAATACTGGCGGGATGTTAACAGGAGTTGTCAACAAGAAATTCCAAAACTTAGACATATGAGTTGTATCATGGTTGAACTTGCCACCCGCAGGAAGGCACAAGGAATCATTAGTCCAAAATTCCTTGTCCACAAGCACTCGTATAAACGGCTGTTTATATCTTCTTAGAGGATAAAAGATTCTTCTATCCTCGTCGACAATGTCAGCACGATTGAGTTTCAACAGCATGCTGCTTTCAACGTATTTACGAAACTCTTTAGCTATAATACAATAAGCAATTCCAGACTTCAAACCCATTTCTTGCGGTAAATTGAGATAATCTACGTTCAAAGAATTGCTGATGTACAACCGTTTGCATACTTTCAGCCGTAGATTTTTCACTCGCCTGATTGACGACCTAATATACCAAAACATTGTATATGCGATGAGA